TTCAGCTGGAGAAGCCCTGGACCAGCTGAAGCCCCGAGGCACCCTAACTTATTATACCCGCCACCTATGCCATCCTGCAAGTGTGATCTATTTTAGTTGATCCTAAATTAATGACCATGCATTTGGTGATATTAAAATGGTTATTGTTCAAATGAGCCCAGCTTACCAAGCAATCCAGATCATGCTTAAAACTGTCCTGTTCTTATCACTCTTTATCACTCCACCATTTTTTGTCATCTAATCAGCAATTTTTCTACCTCATTGATAAAAATATGCAAATTGTATTGGGCCAAGAAGAGATCTATGCAGGATCCCACTAGAAACCCGTCCCCCTCCCGGAATGAATGATTACTCATTTTGAAATTTATTCACCAGTGTAAAATCCTCATAGTATGTTGCTTCGTTAATTTGTAGAGTGCTTATTTTATTATCAAAATAATATGCATGCAATACTAAGTCAAATGCCTCACAAAAGTCTAAAAATATTATATCAATGCAGTTACTATTGTTAGCCAAGTTTGTAATCTTATGATAAAACATGACTAGAGGGGATAAAGGTGCAAAGAGGAGGGGGGCATGAGCCAGGGGATGTGAGGGTGGATAGGAGCAAAGAAGCAGGGAGGCAGGAACTGGAGAGTGGGCAGGTTGTGGAGAGGAGAGAGAGAGGCAGGACTTGGGGGCGAGATGGGTTAGAAGCAAGGACAGGCTGGGTGTTCAGGGGCAGATGGGTCTTGTAACTAAAGACCATATCATAATACATATGCACAAGGAAACCAAGCTAAGGTTATATGGGCAGTTCCGGCATTTCTGAACATTAGAGTGTCTGACTTCACAACTTTAACAACCTTATTGTTCTTTTTAACATTTTTGGGGATATAATAAATTACATATACTCTACACTTACGTAGTGTACAATTAACATTTCTGGGGTGGAATGCTGAAATTGTAGTATACAGCAACTTCATTTCCTGTGCTGAGTAAATCTGTTCTCAGTGACACTCTGAAGAGAATTGAAGTGGACAGAAGAGCACCAGCAAAATGTGCAATTGTCTTCAATGACCACAAGTGCTCACAACTTCTGTTTGTCTCAGCTGAAAGATGTTACCTCGAGTAGAATCACTGTACCTCCACTGCCACCATTTCTTGTAGTACCTCGGCTTTCCCTGAAGGATTACTGTCCAAATATTGACACAGCTGTTGAACTTAGGAGACGTAGCCTAAGCTAGTAACAGTGTAGTTTGAAAGTCCTCCAAATATCCTTGTTCTGCTAATGAGTCCTCAATTGCATCCTGCAGTAAAACTAAATTAGTTTTTTTTTGAAGATACTAGTTATTTGTGAGTCATCTCAGACCTTCAAAGTCACAATGAATATCTATCTTTTCTTGTAGCTAAAGAGGTCTCTGTTCTCAGTAAATAATTTTAAGATGTCGCTGTGACAGATATTACAATTACATGGAGTATCTTTGGGGATCATATTGTATTTAAATCTATGAATAGCTTATGTATGATTGTGCTCTACATGGGGGGGAAGGGGGAAGATTACCGCAGTGCCTCCAGGAACTAAAAACAGTGGAAGGTGATTAGGGTGAATCACTGAGAATGAAAAAGTCTAGGGAGGTACCACCCCCCTGGAGTGGCTTGCATATACTATTCATATTGGGTTTTCCAGAGACTAGGGGACAAAGAAAGGGCTTTTGGCATAAAAGAATGAGCTTGAACTGACCCAGTGTCTTCCTTCTGATCCAGCAAACAGACAGGACCAAGGTGGGGCAACCCTTGTGGAATGTGTGGAATGACTTTGGCTTACCTAGGGCCCCATATAGTTGGTGGGTGACCTCTAGTGAGCTTTTAGCATGTGTACAGGGACTTTTATTTTTTAAGTTTTTCTCTGTAATGCTTTTATTTTAAGAATAAATGTGCTTACTTATAAAGTACCATGAGGTAACTTGTAATTTCTGGTGATACATTATTTATAGCCTTTGGCAAGAAAGAAAAGCACAGGCTCTGGCCTTTAGGCAGACTGGTTTGCTAAGGCTATCACAGTGTAAGGCACTGGGTCAGAAGGAAGTGGGACAAGGGTCCCTGCCCGGAGACAGATGTGGCTGGAGACCTGACTGGGAACTCCTGGAGTGGACCATGCAGAGGGGATACAGTGCAGTTACCCTATCATTGTTGCAGGGTATGTCTACACAGCAACTAGACACTCATGACTGGCCTGTGCCAGCTGACTCGGGTTCACAGGCCTTGGGCTGCGGGGCTGTTTCATTGCTTTGTAGATTTCCAGGTTCAGGCTGGAGCCTGAACTCTGGGACCCTCCCATCTCGCAGCGTGCTCATCATGACCCTCTCCTTAATTCCATTGTCACTTGTTGCCAATGTTCAAAAGTGTGCACCTAAGAGAGCAGCTAGTGATGAATGCATGTGTAGTTCATTCTGTATTAGGAGCGCACTTAATGAGCCTACGCTAAAAGCCAGCACTACACATGGTCAGTAGGTGTTTTCAGACCTTCATAACTTAGTCAAATAAAATGAATTTTCTTCTGAAACAAGGCCATGTTCTGATCATCAGTGAGGACTCTTTCTGGGCCAAATTGCAGCTTTTGAAAACCAGACTTTTCAAGTGGATGCCTATTCAAGCCTCACTTAAAGATTAAAAAAAGGGTTATGAATGTCCTTTAGGAGGAGGGAACACAGGACTCCTTGACTCCAGCTTTGTGTGCATTCCCTATTATGAAGAGGAGTTCTTCTGTGAATAAAGCAGGAGGCAGGGGAAGGTTTTCAGAAACATTTGGACGGCTGTCCATGTTGGTTTGGAGCCATTCTTGGAACGAACCAGTTTGGTGGGAAGCTAAGC